GGCTACAAATTTGAATTTCAATAGTTGTGCACACGTAGGTCATACCGCCACCATGACCTGTATGGAGGCCATCTGGTCACCATACACTCTAAGTTAGTTACATACAACCGCTCATGATCCCTACAACCTCGTACTTTCTAGGAACGTGCATAACAGTCCGCCACTAATGGTGTTTGGTACAACCACCTCCTCACTCCCTCAATTCTCTCACCATGGCTTCCTGATGGGAGGGTTGGTTACACCTAGTTAGCCCACTATTTAGGGTCATGTCTAACCGTGCACCATCATAGTTCAATTATAACGTGTCATTGAGTTCACTCACCCACTCATACATGCACTACCACTATCATATGGCTCATGAGCATTACATATGCCCATGTCAAGGCAGGTATATATTTGAACCCACAGTAGAAATCACAATCCCCACCTAGCGAGGTGTATGGCTCACCTCTTACACATAGTTTGTGCCCATGTCCCATCAAATTGAGCCATCTAGTCACGCCATAGATGTCATCCCACATCATCTTGTCTAAGGTCTTACACCAAGGGTCTTTAATTGTCAGCCAACCTATGAGCACACCATTTACCCGATGCCTCATAGCTTAGCCTATTTCACCATCAAGGAAGAGTGGTACTCACCCATCTCATATATAATTGTCACATAAACAGCTGTATCTTTATGAGTGTAGCTAATCACACCAAAAGTAATATATATGTTGGATGATTCTTTTGGGAAACCCCCAGAGCACACTGTTGACCCACCCACGTATCACATGCACCACTCGGCTTGCATAAATGAGGCTTAGGGTAAAAGGGGTCTAATAGTGTGCTTACAAGTTATTCTCACATGACTATTTCTGAATGCTCATATATTTCTATGTATTTCTATGCACAATTATTATTGCTAAGCAAATTTTAGATGTTACTCTCTTTCCAGACGTCTAATCTAAATGAATAACTGCTATTACTCTAGCCAAATATTATAAGTTAACCATTAAGCATATGATATTAATCAAATGGCATGGAGTATTTTATTTTCATATTTTATATTACAATCATCTTGATATAAACTTTAGAGTGTGTGCACTTCTCATGGCGTCAAGCATCATATAAAAATAAACAAATGATATTTTAGATGAAAATTTGACCAAAATGTCACTACATCATGCAGTGATATTTTGATCATATTATTCTATCAAAACATTGTTTTTCTTCATGCAAGATATGGACGATGGGAACTTTCCCATAATTCATGTCAAGATGATAATAAGGTAATCCTATACATATTATTATAACTAAAGCTGCCCATTCAGATCTAATGGTTGGGAATACTAATCACATATGCTTTATATATGGGTGAAACCACATATAAAGGTCTATATATTTTCAATAGACCATCAATATCACATCGTCACGTTATTTTTATTGATGATTTGGATATTTTATTTTGGAGACATATATAGTGAGTTAGTTGACTCATGCACTTGCCCAAGTTTTCAAGAGATTTAGGACATAGAGATGCCATATATATTATATTTCTAACCCTCTAGATCATCTCTACCAAAAAATAAAAAAAAAGTTCAAAAGACATCCTTTTATCTGTTTCTCTCTAAACTTCCTTCTTTCTTTTCATATGTTTCACCCCAAATCTCTTTTTTTTTAATATTAAAAATATATCTTTTGAAAAATCTCATTTTCTTAATATTAAAACAAAGCAGAGAGAGATTTGGGGATAAGCATGGAAAGAGAGAGAGATAGATAGAGAGAAGGGGTTTAGAAATAGAAAAATGATGCCATTTGGACTTTTTTTTTAGCTAGGGTACAGTTGGTCTTGGGGGTTAAAAGATATAATTCATAAGATCTCTATGCTGCAAAATATGCTTTGAAATCTTGGGTCTGTTGAGAAATGACACTTAAAAAGAGGGTGTACAGAGATATTTTCTCATGATATAATGTAACTGTTTTATAATTTATAATAAAACACACCTTAGAAAATCATGATGAGCACTATTTGATCTTAATTTTTAATCACATACTTAATTCACGATGATCAACAATCTAAAAAAACTTAAATTTGAAAACATGACAATAAAATTGTCTTTTTTTTAAAGTTAATGCACATAGGCCATCTATTTGACAGGGAAAAATTGTTTCATGCACACTGAACCGCATTTCTACATATTGCCCAGAGGTATAAAGCATCCATCTTAAAGATGGATGTAAATACGTGGTCCATCTAAAAACAATTTTAACTAACGGTCCAAATGTTTTCTTAATATAACTATTATTTCTAGTTATCAAAATTTATTTATTTTTTCATATTTATGTTCTCCATGTTAAATATTATATATTCTCTAAAAATTAGGATCAAATTATATTTAAAAGTAAATTTATCGCCAAGCCCGCATTTCTACATATGCGGGCTTGGCCACAAATAAACCGTGTCCTTTGACCGAAGGGTTATATCTAGACCTTAGATGGATTCTTTTTTTTTAAATTCCAAATTTTTAGGTAGCCTCATAGGCAATGGATGAAAAATTCTTCTAAAAAATAAAATAATTTTTAGTTCTTAGAGGCCTAGATCTCAAGGTCCACGAAATGGATGGTCTGGATTCATTGTTGGTGTACGACTCATTTTCACCTTTTGTAGGGACAAGTTTCAATTTTTTTTTTCTTTTTTGGTTTTCATTGCTGGGATAAAAAAATAAAAGCGTAAAATTTGGGATCATACAAATGCCTTGATGATGATGATTTTCTAAAGGATTGATTTCATTATTAGTTGGATTCATGGTTGGTGAGCTACTCATTTTCACCTTTTGTAGGGGTAAGTTCTCATTTTTTTTCTTTTCTTCTTTTTTTTTTTGAAATTCATTGCTGGGATAAAAAAAATACAAGTGCAAAATTTGGGATCATAGAAATGCCTCTAGGATGATTTTCCAAAAGAATGATTTCATTACTATAATACAATAGTGACACGAACACACATGTGTATCATACTAATGGTGAACATAAACTTTCATACTCTAAATTTTTTATAACAACTGCCCTTATTATAATTACAACAATGACTTGCTAGAAAAATTTGTGAAGGAATATTTGTAATAAAAAAGTTAAAGAAATTTTTTTAAATTTGAAAATGAGATTTGGAAAGGAATATAAAAAAAGATCAAAATGCCCTTTCTAAAATAAATGACATATTTGTGGTCAGCAGTCGTTTTCGAATACATATACATACACACATTTATTATTCTTGAATGTAATATGCTAGAGGTGAATTTAGAATTTAGTATTTCAAGAACTTCTAACAAAAAATGCCCTTACATGTTCAAAAATGATTTTTAATCAAACATTTATTTTGGAAAGCATATTTGGACATTTTAGAATATTTCAAAACTCAATTTTCAAATTAAAAAAGACTTCTTTGACTTTTTGAATGATGATTGAACTTTAAAAACAATTAAAAATTATGAATATGTTATTTTTAAAATTTTCAAGTCATTACTCTTGTAACTTTTATATTTCAAAGAGTGTACTCCATAGCTACAAATTGAGTAATGACATTTTTGTCATTAAAAAGGGTATTGTTTATCTTTTCACTAAAAAGTTATAAAGTGTTCTTTAAATTTTGACAAAAAGACAAAGGTAGTTCTATTAATAAAATATCTAGATTTTTACTCCATAGTTACTCATCTTTTAAAGAAAATATTGACATTATCCTTTTCAGTTAGGAAAATATCTTTATTCACTTTATACCCATGAAATAAATATAGGGATTGCTAATGTAGTTTTGATGGATCATACCCCTTTCTAAATGTAACCTATAAGATTTAATAGGATGTAACCCATAGAGATACCCAAGTATATAGTTCTTCAACAGTTAATACCCAATGAAATCCTATAAGTTTTAATGAGCAAGGAAAATAAAAAATAAATAAAGGCGCAGTTTGTATACAGCCATGACTCTAAACAATCAAAGTAATGCGCACCTTCAAATACTGTCGATAAATGTGGTTTCAATATTGAAAATCTTAGTGATATCCTTAAAACATATTTTCATCTTTAATTTTAAAATTTAAAGCTTAAAAAATAGTGTAGATCGAGTAGATCTATAAAAACTTAAAAATGGATGGTCCAAAAATGTGTTACAAGATGCCCTATTTCTAATACTTGAAATCCATTTTTTTATCATGTCCATGCATTTTGATGTAAAGATGATCAATTTGATGTATTTGGCATCAAAACATCCTTTGTTAGTGAAATTTTTGAGGTGGGCTTTAGTTTGATTGTTTAGACCTCAGCTCTATATAATTTTTTTCTTAAAAATAAGATTTTTTTTACTAAAAATAAATAAAAGACATATTTGTCATCTCGAGAGGGGTATTTTTTAAACCTTCATTAAAAGTACGTAGGTATATTAATAAGTACTTATGTTTTTTTGGTGAAAAGATAAACAACATTTTTTTCAATGACAAAAATGTCATTACCCAAGTTTATAATTATAATAAGTAATTGGAAAAATAAAT